TTCCTTAGGCTTCTCACCATCATTTGTCTGAGCCTTCTCAGGTTCCTCAGGCTTCTCACCATCAGTTGTCTGAGCCTTCTCAGGTTCAGGCTTCTCACCATCCTCTGCGTCCAGATCAATCACTGGGCGCACGTCTAGTTCAAAAGGAACTTGGCTGTCTTCATTTGCGAAAGGCGAAGCAGGCTTGCCAACACCAATCTCAGCAGCCTCAGCAGAATGATTGCCCGTGTTTGGACTTTCCTGGACTGTCGGATTGGCAGTTTGAGAAGCTGCTGGCTCTCCAGCTGGCGGTGTGGGTGGCTCCTTCGGGTCTTGCTCTTGGAAAGGTGGCGGCAAGCCAGCCTTTGCCAATCTTGTTTCTCGGCTCATGGGTTCAGGAAGCTTCGGATAGCTGGCAGAATCCAATAATGGCAAGAGCCTCATTTTGATCCCGCTTTGAATCTCCTCAATTGAGCGCGTGTTCACTGATGCGCTCTCTGCAGACGCTGCCTTCGAAGCATTGGGCTGGAAAATGATCCGCAGCGGAAATTCAGTCACAGGAGGCCAGTGGTTCAAGCATCCAAAGGGGTTGAAAGAGTATTGTTGGCCTAAGCGGCCAAAAACCACCAAGTGCTCCAAAACATCTCCCATCCCAGACTCCTTCAGCACGTGCTGCAGATCATCAAGCCATTTCTCCGAATACTGGATGAAGAAGCCTAGGGCGTGGACCTCTTCCTGAATCTGGGGCGCTCCCTTCTTCTCCTCATCAGCCGGGCTATGCAACCACGCAGGTGAGGGAGTGTCTGGCAACTTCTCTCCATTCCATGTGTGGGACGGCTTGGGGATCTTGTCAGACTTCACCTCCACTCCCTCCATGATGTCCCAGTGCTGGGTATCCACATTGTCAAGACCTGATGTGGCAACATTATAATTATATACTAGCTAGTAAGTAAAACTTTTTCCTGCAAGTGAACAAAGTGGAGCTAGTACCGTGAAATCCAAGTTGAATTAATAAGTTGCACTTTGATTTGATGCCCTGAGGCTCCGACACTGGGCTGGAGGCTGGGGCGGTGCCGGTGCAGAATCTTGTTGTACTTGGGCAATTTTTTTCTTCAAGTCTTGTTCCATGGACCGAAGCTGCTGTAAGCGGAACAGTTTCTGGGTTTCATAGTGCAACTCTAAAGTCACTGACACGTGGCACGGGATTTCATGCAGGGTTTGAAAGTCCGGAGCTACCAAACCACACTGCACACATTCGAAACCTGTCGCCCCCATACGCAAATAGTGCCTCGCAATAGGCACTGGAGTCTCGGACAAGGTAGAAGAAACAGCCGACGGAGATGGAGACATACTGGAGCCTCGGTAAGGGCAAAGTTGGAAGCTGTATGCCCAGAAAACAATAAAGTCAAGCCCATGCGAATGGTAGGACACAATGGATCCGAGGAACTTGGGCTGGGCGAGGGAAGAGCTGGTGCTTCTTTTTGAACCAGTCCTAGCGAAGAAAGGGCCCTGCAAACTGTATGCTCTTGAAGTTTGCCAGCCTCCAGGCTTCTTGACACTGGCTGCGTCGAGTTTGGCCCCAAGTTCAGTGGCAGGGTCCTGCAACAGGCGGTTGAAGGGTCAACAGCTAGGGAAAGAAACAGGACCCTCTCCTGAGCAACGATTTCAACTTCAGGGTCTTCCTCCTTGACCTCTTCCTCTTCACCTTCCTCATCACCCGCATCATCAGTAGCGGTGGCCTCTACATCACCATCATCGGTTCCTGGAAAGTTTGGGGTGGGACACCATGGCCCCGTTTGGTGTGCCCAATAGTGGTTGCAAAGAGTGCATGTGTTCTAGACAGGTTATAGCTGTCATCAACTGTCCTTCTGGAAGCTCAATGTCTGCAAGAATGTAAAGATCTTTCATTGCTTGTTCACGGGGAATGTGGGGCCGACGGGCGCAGCGAGCGGAGATGGAAATGAGCCGCCGCAATGCCCATGCCTGAAGTTTGATATCAGAACCTCAGCTGGGTATAGGCTTTGAGATGGACCCTCCTACATACCCAAAATCTTTGACCCTCCTGTTATGGCCTTGGCCTAAGATTCGAGATTCGAGCATATCAAACTTGGCTGTGTGCTGCACTCAGTCGAGAAACCCTTCATTGGTTTTTTCAAGACATCCCGGCGCCGCCAAAAGAACTCCTCCACAATTGGGACAATTGCGCTCACAGAAGGTCTTGTTCCTAGGGTGGCAGTTGCAAGAGTAAAGGGGCAGAGTAACATAAGTACAGTAAACTACATTGTTCACACAATACTGCACGTTGTAACTACTAGTTGTGTCCGAGCTACCCAAGTGCTTCAGAACTGGTCCCACAATCTCCTTGTTCACAAGAAGGTCTTTCCGATTAAGCTCACCCGAGCCCGGAGCACGGAAGAAGACCAACTCACCGCCTCCAGCCCTCTCTCTTAACCACCTGGTTTCCTCCCACTCCCTGACCACAGGGTTCACTTCGGTCTGGGCCATCGCAACCTAGTGCAACAACCTAAGCACTACGTTGAGCCTTTCTTTGAACCACTGAGCTGACAAACGCCGTGCCACTTCTTGACAGCATCAGGTGCAAACACTCAGCTTCAGTCAAGCAGGGGTCACTGAGCTACTCCAAAGAAGAAGTGGCCCTTGCTTGTGCAGCATATGCAAAGCTAGTTCCAAGTTCCAACATGTTCCAACCAGGCCAGGGGCACCACAGCCAGCAGTCAAGATGGACGGACGGAGACAGAAAAGCTGCACCACTATGGCTGGACTCCGCTGGACCCGCCAAGTTGGAAACAATATATTCATTGGTGAATACAGCTAGACATAGGCAAACTGATTGGCCTCCACTTGGGTTGCAACAGTCGGCTGTGCTCAACTGATGTTTCCTTTGACTCCCAGCCGCGGTCCGAGGTTCAATTGGCTTGGCGGTCTGCATTCGCACACTTCACACACATCACTGAGAGTCCCAACTAGCTAAGATCACAAAAGTGCTCGAATTTTGGATTTCTGCTCGAATCTTGAATCTTAGGTCGAGGCCAGAAAAACAGATACAAAAGCAGGAGGGTCAAAGATCTTAGGTACGTAGGAAGGTCCAGGAATTTAAACATTGGAAAACCTTTGCACATTTTTAAGAATGCGACGGCAGGATATAAAATTGTTATCCTTCTCCTCTGAAATGTCCTCTACAAAATGGCGTTTCCAACCCCCATGTTATAAAGCACAAAGTGCGCATTCTCAAACATCTAGGGTTGGATGTTTGTTTTAAACGCGAGGTTTGTGCCTGGTGACATGGAACATGTCACTTAGCCCCGGTCGAATCTGTACACTGCACGTGCTCTGTCAAGTTCTCTGTGCTCCACAAAGACACCAGTGTAGTTGTACCTCTTTGTCGGGCTGTGTCATTTTATGGCCTGGTTTGGCCGCCTGGTTTGGCTTGGCTCAATCTCCTCACTCAACCCTTGTTTTCCTCCTCTTCCGCGCGGCCTGAGAGGAAGGTCAAAAAAGGAAACTGCCTTGAGCTGGATAGAAGGCACAGCCAGAGAAACAAAGGTGAGCACAGGATGTCACAGGTGTAGTTTCCTATACGGGGGGCTCATACGCTGAGCATCGAATCTGGATTCCAATCAATAAGCTTCAATGTGCTGTTTGATTTACGTTACAGTATCTATATTATTGACAGGATTGATTTTATTTCCATATCAATATTTTTCAATCCTTTTTTTCGCGCAGAATGAGTATACAAAATCAATACCCAAATCAACATGAACATCAACAAAATCAATCAACCTTGAGAGGACTGGAGGCCTTTTTCTTTCACATATGCAGCAGGTCTGGACAGGTCTATTGCAAGTGCACTGACCTTTCTCAAGGTCTATCTATGCAATATTATGCAATCCTTTTTCAAGGAACTTGGAAGGGGAGTTGTCCTTTTTCAAGGTTCTATGTTTCTCCCTGCTTTCCCGTGTCAGAACGAAACGGAGTAGAATTGTATTTTGGGGAGCCACAGCAGGACTGACAGAAGATGTGAGAAGGGCCATCTTCCCAACAAAGTCTTCTGATGAGAAGGTCCAATGTGTCTTTGGGTTTAGTTTATTATTTTCAACAAAATGTTGAGAAGTGTGATGCTTCACCACAATATGGACGAGAGATCTCCCTTTTTCAAGGGCCCTTGCGGAGAGAGTGTTTTACTTTTTCAATAAGCACTCTCTCAGCTTTGAGCCATTCCTGGTTTGTCAAGAAGACATCTCCTTGATCAAAATGTCCATGAGCTCTGCCATGTCTTCCACTGCTTGCAAGATAGTTGCTTCATGCCCTTGTTGAAGAGACACAAGATTCTTGAGCACAGGTGCAAAGGCATGTAGAAACCATTTGGTCTCTGCTGAGGCCTTGAGATCCACATGCGCTATACCGTGCTCAAGCGCAGATGGGTGACCCTGGTAGGATTGAACCCAATCTTGATAGACCTCCAAAAAAATGGATGCAACTACTACCCAGACTAGGTTACGACGCTGCACCACATCGCGGCCGGCTCTGAGGTTGTTCCTCCACACAAGAACCTCTGCGCAAAAGATCCGTAAATCTGTCCAGATACGGAAAAGTCGGTACACGGAGTAATGGCAATGGTCTCAGATGAAGTGGTTCGCAGCAGCGGAAGGTAGGTACAGTATTTCAAGTGCGCCCAGTCGTATTGCAGCTATAGCAGCTTGAGAGCCTTCCGTCCTCCAACTCGACCATGTTCCCTGATTGCTGCGCTGAAGACACAGCACTTGCATCCTCACCTCTCTCTTCTGCCCTTTTGCCGAGGCATTCAGGCATTCAGTCTCAACGAAGCATGCCAGGTATACACCCCAGATGAAAAGAACATGGCAACCAAAGTAATCACATGTCTCTATCAATACCTCTCCGTGCAAGGCAAGAGTCGATGAGAGTTGGAGAAGGTATATACTTACTTGCAGCTCCAAGTGGGCACTCCGCACAGAGAGCGGCGTGCATTGCTCCACCACAGCCAGGGCTCTTTGTGGGGTTCTTGAACGTGTTCGAGCCGCGATTGGTGGTGCAAACTGTTGACCCCCCCACCAACCATGGTAACATCGTTGGCATGAACATCTTCTGGCGCCTCTGGCCCCTGTGTGAAAACACATTGAAGAACTCCATTGCGGCAGGTTTTCACATAGCGGCCCCAGGCGCCAGGAGATGTTATGGGCAACTACCGAGGGGGTGGCCGAACACACCCTTGCTAAAAACGATGCGCAAACAACTCCCGAACCACCCGGTCTCCTTGGGCCATTTTGGTGCACGAGCCTGGAATCACTCCTGAGAAGAGCCTAAGGTCGCTTTTAGGCCTTGCCAAAGCCTCCTCATGGAAGATTTTCTTCCAGGCTTCCTTCCCTTTTTCAAGCTTCTTGTAGCACATGCTTGCAGGTGTTGCATCCTTCTCGGCTGAGCATTCCCAGCAAGGGCTTTTGGAAGCCCAATGGTGCAACTTTAATGATTTGCTGAACAATTTATGGTCTTGAAGGGGGAATCCTTTTTCAAGGGCTTCCCGTCTCGGTCATGGGTTGGGTGATATCCATGCTGAAGCGCAACAAATGACCAACAAATCCACACCATCATTTGATCCCAGGTTCCATCCAATGTACAGGATGCTTGGTTGCAAGAGTTTTCCACTTTTTCAAGTGAGAAAATGCTCTGGAGCACATCTTCATTGGAAAACATCTGATCAAAAGAAGCATGCAGCAAATTGCACATCTTTTTCAATGATTTGTGATCTTTCCTTGGGACCTGAACATCACAGGGATCAGGCGTGTTCAGATCTTTGCAGATCCCTGTGGATGTTCCCAGAGTGCTTTTCATGGCTCCCACATTTGCAATGGTGAGCAGCCCTGCTGTACATGCTTTGCGCCCTCTAGCGTAGCACTTTCTGCCAGCCATCTGGCGGTACCATGTGCCCACAGGCACAATGGGCTTGTGCAATTATTGTTCAAGTTGCCAGCTTCTCAGCCTCTTGCCCATGGGCCCAGAGCTCTTGCTTTTGGAATTGTTCAAACTCCACAAGCACGAGGTAGACCTTGTCTGTAGGCCTTTCTCAGTCACTTTTTCCAGACCTTTCTACGGCACGTGTAGTGAGAAGTTGTGTTATTGAAGAATGCCTACCTAACTTAACTATTAAACCTACATCTGCTCTGACTGGAGAGGCAGAGGACATCTCCTTGCTGTTGGCCATAGCTTCTTCAAGCTGTGCCTTCTGTTTTTTCACGCAGCGGGGCTTTTTCAAGCAAGGGCCCTGCTTTTTTCACATAAACCATTTTGGTTATTTTGCAAAGGTTTTCCAAACTAGGAAAAGGCTAGTATTTTTTACAAGCTGACCTTAGGGCCACTTTGGACCACCTTGGCAGGCTACAGGTGGAGCTAGGTTGTTTGTGCTTGTGTTGTGTAATTGTGTGTCTTTGTGAAGTGTGCACTTTTGTAGTGTGTGCAGTGTGTAGTGTGTAAGTTGTGAACTGGGCAGTGTGTGAGCTGTGAAGTGTGTAGTATGTGAGCTGTGAAGTGTGGAGTGTGGTGGTGCAGCTGTGCCCAAGCATGCTAGCCTCATGGGCCAATCAGGTGGAGAGACACTGTTTTCTCGACATGCTTCAGGTGGCACCCATGTGGTCCAAACTAAAACTCAAACACATATATTTGGTGGGACTGGGTGCCACCTGAAGCATGCCCCACTGGTGCAGAGCCTGTGCCATGGAGGCCTTTTTCACACCCAAGCTTTGCATCCAAAGCTTTGTATCTGTTTCAAGGTACGTTATTCACACACATATTCAGTGTGGCAAACAGGTTCAATGTGTTGTTTCCTTTTTCAACCAAATTGTGCACACAAGTTTTCCCTCATCTGGAGGGCCTCTCCTTTGCGAGGTGATCCTTCTCGATCCTGTCTACCACCCAGCTGTATTGGAGGCTCCTGGTCTTTGCCACCATCAAAAACTTTTCTGCTCACTGGATACCAATCAGGTAGCACCTTGGTGGCTTTCTAGCTGTAGTGTTAGGAAGCTTCGCCCAAGGCTTCCTGGTATCCCTTTTCAAAGATGCCTTCTTTACAGCATCCTTTTTCAAGGAACCTTTCTTTGCACCGTCCTTTTTCAAGGCTGCGCATTGCTTTTTCAAGACGCCCAGTGCTGCCTTCATGCCTGGGCGGGCTTGCTTTTGCCTTTTGGGCTGCCGTCATTTTCAGGATGCTGCAGAATCTGCAGAGACATCACTCACAGTGGGCTTGAGTTTCCTTCCCTTGGGAGAGACAGCAACCATGGTCTGCCCATCTCCACAAAAATTGCCCTTTTTCAAGGTGGCTTTGCTGCTTACAGTTGCCTTGAAGGTCTTGCCCTTTTCTTGGCGGTTGCCTTTTTCAAGACGTCCTTGCTGCTGCCAGAGGTCTTGCCTTCCTTGTTCAAGGAACCCTTGCTCCATCCACCTGCCTGTGGCCCTCAAAGGCTGGTCAGCAACAAGCACCTGCCTCAGCTGGGCCTTTTTTTGGGTGGGCTTGTTCCTTGCGTTTTCTGACACGGTGAAGCAGCAACCACCAAGGCCTGGGTCAGGGCCAGCATCTGGTGCAAACCTGGGATTGACAGCGCTGTTCCTGCTCAGCTGCCCATACCCCTTCATGTCCATCACCAGGTCTTGGTGGTCAAAAAGCACCTTATATAGGAAACCAAAGGTTTGCTAAAAAACCTGACCCCTCCTGTGCCAGACATGCCGTTTTCAAGGCTACGGGCTTGCCTTTTTCAAGGCACCTAAGATTAGGCATACTCTTGCGCCAACTCAAGCAACATGCACATCCCAAAAGCAATAAATGCAAGCAAACGTTTGAGATCAAACATGAACTTGTTTAGGCACACAGTTTTGAAAACTCAATCGAACCAATTTTTATAATCAAATCAAAACCAATCAAGCAACAAGGAATTTTTTTGATTGGAATCCAGATTCGATGCTCCGGGTGCTGTTTCAATCTAGATGCACACGCCCCGCCATATCTGGAGACCAGCCCTGCTCCAACGTCTTGTCCTGCGAGCCCAGTCCCAGCATTTCATACAAGGAAAACACTAGGTTGAAGAGATCCCAACACAAACATAGGCCTCTAAGAGATTATCATTTTATAAGCAGGTTGGTGTAGTCTTTTTGAGGCAGTTCATCCTGGTCTGACCATGCTATAAACGGCCATGTTAATAAAATGGAGAACTGCAGCAGCCCAAACAGATAAGTAACCGGTAACCGGTATACGGCAGCGTGACATCGCCCACCGCTCACCAGAGTCCCTCAACAGGAACACACCGGCCGCCTGCTCACCCTTACCTTCATTGGCCTAGACCGGGGTCGGCGGACTGACCGAGAGCCTACACTATACCCTCCTGCCTTCCTTAAAGAGACCGGTAACCAATCGCCGAGTGCGAAGCAGACTTCGACGATCTGCTAGGTGGTAGGGATGCCCGAGACTGAGCTGGTCTCATATGGTGCGGATTGCCTGGCGGATCGACCGAGGGTTTGGGAGACATGAGTTCCTGTACTTGATGAGTTTGTGAACCTCCAATCTGAACCTACAGTAAAAACATCCGTGTAGAGGTTGGAACTACTAATGGTCATTTTTGTTGAACTCCTTCGTTCGCTTCAGTCAGATCATACCGAGCGGCAGCATCGGTGCAAGGATTTCATTTGGCGCGAGAATCGGGAATGCTGGAAGCTTTGGAGATGTTCTTTGTAGTTGGAAAGGGTTTGAGAGGGTACAGCAATAGTGAGAAAAAACACTACCAAAATCCGTTTCAGAATGGAAGCCTGATGACATTTGCAGAGAGGTGGGTTCTAGGTAGTTTTGTCTATGTTCCTTTGTGTTTTTTCCTTTGTGTTGGTTTTGCTGTTTGTTGCACAGAGGATTTGTGTTTGCAATTGTTCCATGCAAGTCCGGCAGGTCCTGCATTGTGAACAGGGTCTGGTTAAGGACCTGGAGGAAAAGTTTCCTTCAGCTTCGCTCTCAGCTAATCAGTCCAACCCATAGGCGGAATACATGTGAATTCCCAACGCAGAGTTCAAAACGCTCCCCGAACCAAAACCTCCCCGAACCAAGACTTTGGACAGAACCAGAACCTTTGCTCTCAAAATGATGTGTCCAGCGTGGTCCCATGACCAGAAACAGTCGGCGCAAGATTGTCCCTCGTTTTTCTGGTTGGCCTCATGTCCTTCTGTTCGGTTTTCAACGGGTTCGCCCCCGTAAAGATCATGGTTTTAAATTACCGGATGTCCATCTCAAGGAGGCTGTAGATGTGCTTTGCCACCCAAGGCATGCAGAATGTGATGATGAGAACCACAAGGACGAGGCAACATGCATAAGCAGCGTGCTCTATCAGTATCAGATTCTTGGACTTCTGTGAGTTTTAGTGTGATCCAACAGTAGTGTTTTGTTGTGCATCAGTTCCTAAGAAAATGACGCGTATATGATATAATCGCATATACTCAGCAAACATGACAGAATTTTTCAGGGGTATGTGGCGCATCAGAATGCCCATGTCCACCTATGGCAAGAAACTCCCACTCCATGAAGCAAAAACTCAAACACATCATGACAATGATGTTAGAGATTGTTTCAATTATCTTAAGAAGAGATAATTAGTAGTTTTGATTGGAAGCAGTGATGACAGGCTTCAGGATTTCGTTATCTCCAGGTCAAGTCGGCCAAATTGGAGACTCTGAGAGAAGATGCAGGGAGGTGAGGTTCAATGAGATAGGAAAGGGGGCCTATTAAATGGTTCTTTTTTGTCATCAGACAGTTCGCTTAGTGTGACCATGTTAGGACATGGACATAGGTTGAACGGGACAACAAAACAGAGTTGCTGAAACAACAAATCCTGATGAACAGGTCTGAAGTGCCTAATTATGTCATATTGTTTTGTAGAGAGGCTTGTATAGTTGAATTGAACTGATTTTTTTCAACGCCTCTATACGTGATAGCTAGGCCAAGGAAAGTCCTATGTCATTTGATCGCACTTTCTTCGATGTATCAATTTACATTTGGAGTTTTGGAGAGGGTTTGACATAGTTTGACTGCCGTTCTTTTTCTCCAAAGGGCCTTCTTGAGCGCTTCCTTCAAACACATTTGCGTATATTCATTCGACCTGCTTGATTGCTGTGGCCTGATAGGATGTTTGAACGTACAATGGCCTATGTTCACAACTTGCCACATGGACCACGCTTTCCCAAGGCCGCGGCCCATGCTGCATATTCTTTGCATGTCCGCAACTGCTTTTAGCAGCTTCACCAGGCGCGACTCTACCGGCGCAGCAGCGCCATGATGTGCTTTTGAAGCGGAATGACGCGGATGTGTAGTTCACATTGCTGGGCTTTCTTTGCTCCGTCGTTTCCTGCTTTGATCTGCTTTGATCGCGGTCAGGCGGGGCAGCTGCCCAGAATGCCGCCTCTGTCCCCACAGTCGTGCGTTCAACGCCGCCGCAAAGGCTACTCTGGGCCAGCCCGTGCCAGTTTTTAGCCTTGGACCACAACCATGGCACGGCTACGCACGGCACTGGTGTGTCTTCTTGGCGGTGTGCCGCGTCCTGCATGCCACCGCTCGAGGCTCTGACATTGCGGCTGGCCTTTCCTATCTCCACAGCCTCAGACCGAAGGCGGGCTCACAAATTCCGCGCGCACAAGCGGCGAATTCGAGTTGGAGTCAAGCCGAAGGCCGGTGTGGTTCACTTGCGAAAATGAGGTGCGTGCACTCAAAGAAAGGTTTGATCTGCTTTTCCCAGTGGAGGAGAAACGCGAGCCTTCTTTCAACTTCATGATGCCTTACTAAGACTACGGTAGCCCTGACTTGCCAGTTCATGCTACGATTGGGTGTCAATTTTTGGGGCTTAGTGGCACGGATTGGCTTCAGAATTGTTTGCAGGGCTGCTTTGAACTTGAGTGGGGCAGGTTTGGACCAACCAAGTACTAATTGCAGGACGCCACCTTGTTTGAGCTGCCGGCTTTGGTGTTGTAAAGTTCCTGACTGAAAACAATTGCCGGTTCCATGAGGTTCCTGGCAGCGGGCGTGAACTGTCATTAGGACCAGGGGATTAATGATCACAAAGCTCCAATGAACCAGGGAACTGTGCAATTTCGCTGCCGTGCCTATCCCCAGGAAGCTAAGTCTTCGTGTTTTGTGATACTTTGCTGGTCTGAAAAAACAAGTTGATCGGTTAGCGGTTAATGATTTTTGGGGCTGGACCACCAGCCTGACCCAGCTATCATCGTAAAATGCCCATTTTTGTATGATGACCATTTCGGCCATGTTGGTTCCTTCTTGGAAAACCTTCACGACCCATTCTATGTCAACCATAACCCACAGTGGTCCAATACGTCCGCGGGCGGGGCTCGATGTCCGATCAGATCCTCCACCGGGATGTGAAGCCGGCAAACATCCTGCTCTTTGCTTCGCAGGAACGTGCCTGCGAAACGCGCGGCGGAGACGTGGACACGTGTGTTACTGTTTGTTATTACGTTGTATAAGTGCTGCTACGATTTTTGAATTATGATACCATTATATAGTAGTTGTTTTTTGGGGGGTAGGGCACAATACAGGTGGTACGTAACAGGTGGTCGTTGTGCCTTGGGTCTTACATCAAACTTTGAGAGTTTGATGAATTCGGTCAGGTGGCGTTCGTGACCGCCTCCAGGAGGCCATGGCAGAACTATCCAAGTTTTTCACTCGTATTTGTTGTTTGTCTCATATTTGTTTTGCGCGCTTCCCCGTTGAGTTAGGGCTTGTGGGTGTTTGGGCGATGTTCACTTCCAAGACGGAGCGACTCTCAACTGAGCGACTCAAAAAGGAAAACCGGACCTACCCCATCAGTCCTTGACCTTTAACATGTTTTGGTGGGTTGATTTTTGCCGTCTCCTCCAAAGAGCGATTTAAAAGGGATTTGGAATTCCCTAACAATCCATACGAATTTAGACTGGAATAAAGTATTCCATTGACCCTAGTGCCCTAGTGCCTGTGACGCATCCCTCATCGATATCGGCTGCGGGGGGTTTCACTGTTGCGTCGGGTGCTAACCGGCGGACAGGTAGGCCACTACCCCACTACCCGACCCCGACCCCACCAGTTTTTCGGGGATGAGCGGGTGTGGAATATTAAACACACTCGCATTGACCCTCAAAACCTCATCCCCTAGTCCAGGCCCAGGAAAGAATATTTATTAATAAATAATTTGATATTTTTTGAATGTATGTTTTAATGTATGTGTTGATATTTTATTTGGCACCTAGAAGCACCTGGGGCAGAAATTTCTGCCTCAGTCCGATTTGCCCGGGAGGATTCGCGGATTTAGGGGAAATCCGCGCCAGGTAGGAATTTCCGCGGGCAGCAGGGAATTTTTGCCTCAAGCAAAATCCAACATAGCAACTCAAAAACCATTACAACCTACCAGGTTGTCTCTTCCATTATTGCAGACCACATATCGTTCTGCATAGCTTCACATCTCAAGATCTGACACCCTACGATTTTGACACTTCTAAATTCATGACATTCACAAAGAGGCTGCGACATATGTTCAAGCCCTTCAAAGGCATCAAAGGCACTGTTCTTGAATCCCGCCTTCTACCAGGAAATTTCCGCCGGTTTCCCGGGTATTTCCGCCGTTTTCCCGGGTATTTCCGCCTCTTTCCCGGGTATTTCTGCCTTTTTCCCGGGCATTTTCGCGCCAGGTGTTTTCAACTTTGGACTGATTTTAGTCCTTTTGTGATCATTCCGCACAAGAAGCCTTCAAAAACAAAGACACATAATATATGATATGATGGTAGCCAGATTTGCAGGTGGAGGTGGAAACTTAAGCGCTGCAAATTGGTTTTTCTCATTGCGGTGACCGTTCCAGGCAGAAATGCCCAATGTAAACCACAAAAATATTCAACTCCTGTAGAATATGTTGTTTTTGTCTGACTGGATTCCTGAAAAGGAATATTCGCGGCAACAAAAATATTTTCGCGGCAAACAGCTGATTTCCGCCCCAGGACGGGAAGAGCCGCTCTTCCCGAAAAAGGCAAGAATTTCTGCCCAAAGGATCTTCTAGGTATATTTTGATATTCTATCTGGTATATTTTGTAGTATTTTATTTGGCATATTTTCTGAGACTTTGTCTGGCATGTGAGATGCATAGGTAGCAACCTATGAGCGGTCAGCGGCAACAACTCGCTATGTTTTCCACCAAATAAGTATATCCACAGGCTGCACACCAAAAAGGGGAACTTGTAAATCGAACGCAATCGGCCACACTCCAATAGGTGCCAATAGTAATTAAGTGAAAGGAAAATAACGATAACAAGTCATAAATTACACATCCCCAAAGATTTCCTTTAATTTTCTCGGAGCTTCTACTGATGGACTCATCTTCAACAATCAGAAATTTTCCCCAATCAAGAACTCTAAGCAACAACCCCGGGGAAACACTTCGCTTAGTCAGGATATCACCTAACATGTGGTAGGTAGCCACCCAACGTAAGTGAAGAGCATCCTTGACAATAAATATTTCGAGAGCGTGCCTCTTATCCCGAATGTTGGTGTTGTAAGTCGACTTGGTGTTGAACAACGGCTTGTTGTCCACAACTGTGCAAATCGGATCAAATCGGTACGTGTTTCTCTTAACATGAACATTGACCCTTAAAACATCTGAATGATATATACACCTTACATTGACCCTTGAAACCACCCACCCAAAACTTAAATGCCAGAAGTACATTTTTCAGTCCCATGTTTCGAGTCTCGGGTCAGTTCCGCATGCTTCAAGGTATGCATGACCCACTCGGCACGCTGCCGTCGATGCGTCGGAGACGGGATCCGCGCACCGGCCTCGTGTCATCCAAATCGTCGATAACACGAAACGCCTCGTCGGGTCACAAAGACCATGGCATACATTTTTAAGGTGATCCGCAAGTCAAAGACCATAGGATTGCACGGTTTCTATCTACGAACTTTCCGATCTACGAACTTCTATCTCTTTGGGGGGGGCTGTATAATGACTTGATATAGCAAACAATATTTCCTCTCAGACTTGCTACAGGGTTGGATGTGTATCCCGTGGATGGTGTGCGGGTCGCCGCTCGGCCGGTATCCCTACACCGACGCTCCAGCTGGACCAGGAGGCCCTTTTTCCCCGTGCCAAGTTGGCCGATTTCGGTATCGCAGCTGGACTCAGAACACGGGCAGGGCGATGTTGGTGAGGGCAGTTGACTTTCCAAGCTTAAACACTCCATGGGACTGGAAGACATGTGTAGTACCACAAACCTACCCCCCCAGTTCCGGCTATGCTAGTCCCATGCAGTGTTTGGGCAAGGTTGTCCTGGTTGGGGACGAGGAAGTGAGCAGGTGAGCGGGTTTCGTGGTGAACAGCTTGGCGGGTTTAGTGGAAAGTCCATGTCAGTCCAATCTCGTCAGGCCAACGGCTTTGGAGACTAGTCCAACGAGTGTCCTTTTCCATGGACCAAGATTTGCTCATGGCAGTGTGAAACTTGTTTGTCCTCTTATTTGGGAAAACGCAGCAATGTTGGGGGTCATGGTTCCGAAAACCACCGAGTTCAGACTCCAGACCCCAGTGATTTCTTACCCAGACACTCCATGTATGCTATATATGCCTACATTGAGGCCCCCAAGCCATCCCAATATGTAGGCATATATATAATATATGCCATACATGGAGTCTATGGGTTTTAGTTTCCACGTTTCATGGACCGTTTCTTTGTCCCGCTCTTTTCTCACGTTTTGAGGCTCGTTGTCCATCGTCCATCAACCCCACCAGCCATGCCCAAAGTGTCAAGGGAGAGAGTGTCCAATCCTAACGTCCGTGGGACGCAGATGTGCAGATGCACAGCTTGCTGCCTTGTGGCTGGGTTCAACGATGGTTTTAAAAGATTTACAAAGAACCGGACCATACCGGACCTTTTGTTTTTTGGGCTCCGATCGAAGAGTCTTGTGCCAGGCAGAACAGCTACCAAAGGTCTTGCTCAATTTTTTTGGAGCCCCAATCCCTCCAAAGCTCCTTTTGAACTTTGTGCTGATCATGAGATGTGTGCATTCTCACGCCGGACATTCAACCTCAGCATGTCCGACTGTTTGGCAGAGATTCCGAACCATCCAGCTCAACCAAAAAAGCAAGCACAAAGAACATATCTCTACACCATTAGCCTTCTGTTGCAGCTCCGTTGGTTACGGTTACGGTCTATTCCGATTTGGCTAGCTGGCAAGGCACCAGGAGTTTTTCTCACCTCACTCGTGAGCTGGGAGGAGAAGCTGGCACCTTCCAAGTCTAAGGCACCAGGCGTTCCAAACCCAGACGGTCCATGTAAGATCATGTAATGAAACATTAAGTTGATATGACCTACATTCACTGCCAAAAACCACCAAATGTAACATTTACTTACTGTACATGGAATATGTGGGAAAGAGATGGTGCTTGGACCTGACGCCACCAATTGGCACCCCTGAGGGTCTCCTACAGAATCAAGGGGCATTGAGAGGGGATTTGGTCAGGGCTGAGGCTTTCACAGTCATTCGTTTGTACCTTTCCCAATTCTTCCCCATGTGGTCGTCGTCCTTGTCACTGGCATCCACAGGCCTTCTTCG